GCCAAGCCAAAAATCGTGAAACAATAGGAATCTGTGCCCAGAATATCAGCTAAAAATACCTCATCCCTGGCTCTGTGTGTGCTGGGTATGCTTTCGAGGGTCCCAGGGGGCTAATGAGGATGAAGGGAAAGGAATACTGACATTTTCAAAGGAAACCAAACCTTTAACTCCCTAAAAAGGAAACATATATTTTCCGTGCGCCTGCCTTATGTTTCTTGCCATGTTTGCATGTCTGCGTGACACTATGGAAAGCCTATGATCTACGCCGTGCCACCCCGGCCTGGGTTGTGGAATCCACGCTCTCACCACAGTCCTTTGCTCTGCAGCCTGACTCCTCGACAGCCTTCCAGGTTTCGGCAAAAACGAAGGCGGCGGTGGGGTGGGGGTGGGGTGGGAGGGGAGGGGACGGAGAGAGCAGGAGCGACTCACTGTCTCACACACTGTCCACTTACTCAGCTGGTTAGGGTTACAGCCCAGGGGCCCAGGGACACCTTTCCATCCCCAGCTGGGCCACATTTAGCCCCTTTTATTTCTTGACCATGGACTGAGCCCCAAGCTCTGCCTGGCTCTCTCATGACCTTCATGTTCTTTGTGGTCTGGGGTAGGTCCCTGCTCCTTCTCAGCATCGGTTTCTTTCCAGTTAAACATGAGGGGAGAGGCTGACGGATCTTGTGGGGGCCTGACGGCCAGGGAAGCAAGATAAGAGGATAGACGTCTCAGCGCAGGTCCACAGCCTGTGAGCAGCGTCACCTGAGCCCTGAGAGGATCCGGGAAGGAGTCTCTTCCAAATATTTGCCAGATAGTGTCAGTGCTGGCCAAGTAGCAACTGTTGGCTCTGGTTGACTCAACACACAGTGCTGCCGGCTTCCCGTTGGCTAATGTCAGCGCTGACCTCGGGTGAGGGGAGCCCAGAGCCGTGGTCGCCTGAACGAATGCACCTGCCGTCTCCTCAAGCCCGTGTCCTCTCGTTGTGCCTGTCGGGCTCCTCCAGTAACTTATGAAAGGCTTGTCTGGCTTAATTTGTTACAACGAGAGTCACAGCCTTGAGAAATGCATGAAGTTCTAATTTTGGCTCAGTCTTGCAGTAAATGATCTCATGCCAATATTGACGTGGGCAGATATGTCCCATTGATTTCTGCGAGTGTCAGACACTTCAAACACGCCGTCTCCTCAGTCTCCAAGGCGTCTCGTGAGGTCATTATGACGCGCCGATGGAGCAGCAGGGCTCGGGACCGTGACCACTGGCCCACAGTCTCAGAGGTGGAAGGAACCCAGGCTTGAACCCAGGTTCTGTCAGACTGGAAAACCATGCTGTCCCCACTCTGCCTGGCTCACCTCGACCAGACGCTGTGTGAGAATGAGGGAGGGACTCAGCCATCCTTTTGCGATGGACGCCGAGCCAACATGCTACCCTGAGCTTCTCAGCAAGGTGCCTCTGGGCGGTGCAGACACCACACTCCCCATTCCCATCCCTTTGTATGGCCCTCACTGCTCCCCAGGACCCCAGGGACACGGAGCCTCTGATTGGCTCTGCCAGACACTATTGTTTCCCGTTTTCTCCCCACCGCAGAGCCTCGAGACTGTCTCCTATAGAAGATCCTGCCACGTCTATTGTCCCTGCAGACTTTCCCACCGCCCCAGGCCCACGGGCTCCGGCGCTTATTGTGGTGGTGTTGGCTCAGCCTCAAGGACAGAGACCTGGAGCCAGCTGACAAGGTTGCTTGTGTCACTACTTCTAAGGCCACAAGCCATGCTTTTGGTTCCCAATACTTTTGAATACTCTCCGTCAGTTCAGCCACATGGTCTCCCAGGCTCCCGGCTGCAGAGTCACCCGACAGACAGTCTTGGCTTATGGCCAATGCCTGTCTTGGTGCCTGGATGACCTCAGTTACCAAGTCAACATGGCATTAGTGAGTGCTGCTGTACTGCCCCCTGGTGGAGAGGGTGGAAACGGAGCATGCATTGCAGAGGGACACACAGACTTTCTCCCACATTCCTAAACCCAGGACTTAGAAATACACCTGATGGGCCCTGGCCAGGAGCTCAGGTGGTTGGAGCATCGTCCTGATAGGCCAAGGTTGTGGTCTCGATCCCTGGTCAGGGCACATACAAGAATCAATCAATGATGCATAAACAAGTGGAACAACAAATTGACGTGTCTCTCTCCCCCTCAACCCTTCCCCTTCCTCTCTTTCTAAAATCAATTAAAAAATGAAATGACCCTGATGTGGGGTAGGGCCGTGCAGGTGGACAGGTGCCCCGCCTGCAGCTGCTTGCTGGCCGAGGCTGACAGCAGTTCTCTGTGTAGTTTGGCGGAGTGAAACCAGGACACAGCCAGCTGCTCAAGTTGCACTTTGTGTGATTTTGGTCTCCATTCTTCCACTTAATTTTCCATGGCGTGGAGGCTTTGAGGAGCCCCTTCGATGTTGTCAGAATTCTGGGTTCAGGTTAATGAAGATCTCAGCTTGCAAACCTACCCTGGAGTGTCATGATGGGGGTCCCCTTATATTCCTGCTCAGTCCTCCTGGGCCTCCAAGCCCTTGCCCTGGGTGGCGCTGGGTGTTCACGAGGCTGCCATGTTCTGCAGCCGTCCTGTGCTTGGCCGCTGTGCATCAGCCCGGAGGGCAGAGATGGGGATGACATGGCGGCTTCCAGTGTCTGCATCTAGAGGACAAGGGGGCAGGTGGGGGGAGAGTGGAGGAAGGCGTGGGAATTCATGGTGAAAAAGTCAGGAGTATTGATCCTGAGGAGAAAATGAAGGCTCAGTCAGCCAGCCTCTTGGTTGTTACGTTGATAGAGCAAGAAGGCATTTTACGGAAGTGTGCTGGAACTCTTGGTTGGGTAAATCCAGACAAATGCCTAGCCCGAGGCCACTGCCGCAGGTGGGACCTGGACCCCGAGTCCACAGCCAGCGCAACCGAAAAGCTGGCCTCGACATCCTTGCATCACTCATGGCCTTGGTCCTGAACTGCCTGCCCCATCCCTCTCTCTCCATCTCCTTTACTAATCCCGATTCCCCCAGTCTCTTCACCACCATCGTATGGTTCCCATTTCATTGAGGGCTTGCATGTGCCAAGCACCGTGCTAGGTGGTTTGGATGCGTTAGTTCATCCTGACTGGGGCTCTGTGAGGCGAGTTCTTGTATTGGTCCCAGTTTATTGGTGAGTGAACTGGCACCACCGTCACCAGACCCAGGTCACAGAGGTAAGTGGTGGAGGGGGCGGGGGCCTGGATCTAAGGTGATGGGATGACTCCATGCTGCCTCCGGTCCTGCTGCCTCCACAGCTCAGTGTCTGTGGCTGAGCATCCCCGGCTCCTCCTGGCCCAACCCTCTGGCCTGCATTTCTGCCTGCACCTTGGGAACAGGCCCCCCCACGCTCCCAGCAGACGGGGTCCCCACAGGAACTGCTTGGTCCTGAGCGTGTTGGAGTAGCGTAGACGCCTCACGGTGGCGCTGGGTTGGAGAGGGTCTCCCAGGCACTGTTTGTTCTTAACCTACATCCACAGCGGAGAGGCCTCTCTCGGGGGTCCCTCAGGGTACTTTGGGGCCCAGGAGCTGAGAGCCCGACGGGGTCAGCTTGGTCCTGACTCCTGCCCGTCACCCCCAGGGGCAGCAGCATCTCTGGATGCCCTGCAGAGCCAGGGGCCGGTCCAGAAACCCTTGCACGAGCCATGGCCGCACCCCAGCTGCCTGATCTTTCTACTTATTTCTGCTGAGAAAACAGTGCCAGACGGATGGGGCGCAGGAGAGAAGGGGAGAAAGAGCCTGTGAGCAGCCCCCTGAGGCCCGTCCCAGGGAGACTGAGCTTACAGAGGGGCTCTCGTCGAGCCCTTCCCCCAAGGAGTGGGCGTGGCCGTGGCTGTAGAAATGCCGCGGTTCCTGGCACCACACGGATGTTCAATAAAGATGAATCCCCCGCTTCTGTCTTCCGTGAGCTTCTTTTCCTTTGAAGTAAAATAATTTGGGGGCTGAGCTATGTCGTAATGACAAGGACCCGATATGCAGAATGTGGAGTAACTGCCTAGACTGCACACGGGCAGCGGAAGCCACGTGTCCACCTGGCCTCGTGGGCCGTAGGCTATTCCTGCTGCTCAGGGACAGCCCTCCTGTCCTCCCCAAGGTCCCCTCTTTCTTGATCGCCTTAGACTGGTGTCCGAGGAGTCCCTCAGGTGCCAGCCTTCATCCCTGCTTTGGAAACGTTCTTGTCTCCATAGCTACAGAGCAGGATTCCAAACCTGTAAGAAAGGCATGAAGCGTGAAATGGAGCAAATTAAGGACTTTTCCAGCCTGGGGAGTTTCAGACATGCCTAGGAGCAACCGCTTAAAGATTTCTTCAAGTGGAATCTTCTCTAGAAATCAATCATCAATCCATCCATCAATCAATGGATCAATTCTTTTTGGAAATGTGTTTCCCGCAGTCCCACGGGCTTGCATTTCACCCCTGTCCCTCTCCCACTCTGGGTACTTCCTTCCTCCTCCATGTTCCCCAAAAGGATACACACACACACACACACACACACACACACACACTTATACATACCAATACATACATACGGAGGGAGGGGGTTGCTGTGTGTGTGCATGTGTGTTTGCACACAATCTCTTTGGCCTTTGCTGTGTTGTATTTGTGAAGACGTAGCTGTGAATGCTGTGAATGATACAGTTCTGGGAAGATGTTGTTTGGAGAACTGCATGGCAAGGTGGGTCATGCCGAAACTGTCTGGGGGCTGGCCGATTGGTGTCTCTGGTTAACAGGTGTGGAGTGAAGGGACCCCGGGAATGGACGCCGGGTCCGCCCAGGCTCTAAGTTTTTTATGTCACTCTGGTCCATCGAAGGTCAGAGCTGAGGTCCCTGGGTAAAGGGTGGACAGGAGCAGGTCTTCCTGCTCTGCCCCCTGTGCTCTGGCCCCAAATCGGCCCCTTCCTCTTCTCTGCCGTCCTCCAGGCACCTGGGACAGCGGGAGGCTGCGGGTGGCAGCGTGCTGGCCCTGTGGGAAGGATGCGGTTGTCCGAGGGCGTGCCTCCCGCTGCCCCGCGAGCTGGCCTGCCCTCGGTCCCTCTTGTCTGGTACCTCCTCCTCCATGCCTCAGACTCCCGCCACGTGGCCTCTGTGGAGCCGAGGACAGGTTCCTCCTGGTCATGCCTGGTGCCTGCCCACCTGCCACCTGCTGTTCCCCTGCGAGGTGAGGGCTGACCTGCCACGTTCCCAGGAGAATCTGTGATGGGGGAGCCAGGAGCTGTCTGATGCCCAGAAGAGCAGGCCGTGGTGAGACCTGCCTGCTCTCAGGGCACAGCCAGGCCAGGCTCTGCCCCAGCGAGGCCTCAGGAGCTTTCAGAGGAGGCCAGGCCCTGGGAAACTGGGGAGAGACACCTGGACTTTCTCTAAGCCTTCAAGAAAAGGGCAAGGTGTGTGTCAGCAGCTGTGTTCTCTGTGGCACCGGCAGCTGTGCACACATGTGGCACACGTGACAGGCTGTGTGCACATTGCTCCTTGAGTTGCTCAGGGAGAGGGAGGGCGACAAGAGCCGAGGGTGAGGGGGACCTGGTTTTCACCTAGAGGGGACCTAGTGGAGGGAGACAGGACCTCACTTTGGTCCCCGTCTCTACTCCCCACTGACCAGGCCTGGGATTTGAGCCCATGCAATTCCTGCCCCTTCCCCAGCTGCTGGGGAGCCCACCCTGACCCCCCTCTCGGTGGGGAAGGATGTTGCAGTGGGGACGACCCTCAGGAGGAGGAGGAGGGGGCGACTCACAGGGTGGAAGGAAGCTAACAAGCACAGGTGTGACCACCTGCGTTGCAGACGCCTGGGCCTGCTGCCTCCTGAGTGTCAGTGGGGAGGAGCCTGCGGGGGGCTTGGGAGGACGGGCCTACGAGGGGCTCCCGGGAGGGACTGACTGGCTGGCTCAGGTTGGCCGACAGGATGAAGTGGTGGCTCTTCTCCTGATGCGCAGCACCCAGCATAGAGGGGGGTCAGGGCGACTTGCCCAGAGGCCCAGACCCAGCAGCACCCCACACGGGCAGCGGAGGAGGGGAGGGCTGCTGGCCCCTGGGCCTGCGTTTGGGGCCACACCGGCCCCTGGGGCTGTCCACCAGTCTCACCCCCTTCTTTAAGTTTTGAGGAAGAGGGAGGCCGCCAGGTGCTCCAGGTGCGAGCAGGGAGGGCTGTGTGGTGGCCCAGGCCTGCGCTTCCGACCCGGGCCGTGCGGGACACGCCTGCAGGCTGGCCCTGTCCTTCAAGGAGTCCCGGAGGTGGCCCATTCCTTCCCCAGCCTGGCTTCCTTCACTCCGGGAAGAGAGGGGGGCGTGGAGCGGTGCGTTCTCACTCCGGCAGTTCTACCCGCCTTGCCGTGTCCTCTCCCGTCAGCCGATGACCTTGCCACGCCCTTGACCCTCGGGCGTCAGGGACAGAGAGGCTTTCTTTCCCAGTTGCTTAAAAAAGAAAACAACTCTTTGTTTTGGAAATAGAGACATGGATGCCATCAGGAATGAACCAGAGATATTTTCAGGGCACGTTCATTATCTCTTGCTTATGCCACAGGCTTTGACAAAGAATTAGGTCGTCCTGAGGTCGTTTGGGAAGGAGAGAGCCTCTCCCAGACCACCCTGCAGTGTGACGAGGACGGGAGGGGCGTGGTGGGACCCGCTGTGTGTCGTCTGGGTTCCAGAACTTCCCGTGCCAGCCTCCTCGGCCCGTTCTCCAAGCTCCTTTTGCTGCTGACGTGAGGGAGACGGGGGCCCGCGGACCTTTGTCACAGACCTCCCTCCTTTGTCCCGCTCCCAGGCTGTTTGCTGTCAAATGTGGGGGCTGCTTGGAGGCCATCGCACCCAACGAGTTTGTGATGCGGGCCCAGAAGAGCGTGTACCACCTGGGCTGCTTCTGCTGCTGCGTGTGCGAGCGGCAGCTCCAGAAGGGGGACGAGTTCGTGCTGAAGGAGGGCCAGCTGCTCTGCAAAGGCGACTACGAGAAGGAGCGGGAGCTGCTCAGCCTGGTGAGCCCGGCGGCGTCTGATTCGGGTGAGTGCCCTCGGTGGGCCCCGGGGGAGGGGGCTGTGGGGGGGGGGTTGACCATCTGCAGTGCCTTCCTGGAGGGCCAGCCACCAGGCGGCCTGGCCCACGGAAGGCAGCTCTGTGCTTCCGGGAACTGCCCCTGTAGCTGGGAGTGATCTCTGTACAGTCAGGATGACCACGATGTGCCAGGTAACAAATGATCCCGATTCCACAGCGCCCACCATAGACACTCATTCACACGCTCACAGGCTCTGGTTAGTGGAGTGACTGCTCCAGGCTGGCGGTCTCTGGCGCCTGCACCCACCTGGCTCAACTCAGGCCGCAGCCCCGGCTCACGTCCCCTCCATGCGCACCCTCGGGGGGCCAGCTTGAGGGGCAGCAGTTCCGGGGCTGGCTCTTTCCCTGGGAGTGGCCCTCGCACAGAAAGCATGCCCAGCCCTACCAGCTCCTTTCACGTCTGCCGAGGCGACTTAAAAGCTCGGACCCCAAATCCAGAAGACGGAGCCCCCAGGCACCAGGGGCCCTGCCTGGTGTGGGCACGGGATGCTCTTCCAGGGAGGGATGGGAGGGGGCCGTGGTCCGCCTGCTTCATTGCCAACTCTGTTCAGCCTTGTCTGCTCATCTAAGCCAAGCTCCGTGGCCCCCACTCGGCGGAAGGAGGCCCGCTCACCTGTCTTTTCCTCTGGGCACCTTGGTGAGCCTCCCACTTGGGCCTCCTCCCCAGAATATTGCAAAATCTTTGAATACCCCAAGGGCTTAAAAAGACGTGCACACCCAGGGGTCACCACCCTTTCTCATGTGGAAGTAGATGCCGGGGTCCGAGCTGGCACACAGGTGTGGGCCTCGATCACTGAGCTGTCCAATTGCAGGTTTTAATGGGCTACAAACTCAGTAGGAGGCGTTCGTATATTCCTGCCTCCCACCCCCGGGCGCAAAGACAGGAAGAACAGCTGGATGCAAGTGGCACCGAGGCGTGGCGCCTTCCCCGCCACGGGTCCAGCCGTGCCCGCCTCTGCACACCTCTTCTTGTGGCCGCGATGGACACACTGGAGCTTTCCGGACACTCACTCAGTCAGCAGCCACACCTGAGTGCTGAGGCCAGGGCCGGGCAGGACACGAATGACCAGAGTGGTGGGGGTGGGAGGTCTCCAAGCCACAGCCACGAAGGAGTTATAGATACCGTATTTCGGCTAGAAAAGTAAGGACTAAGTGAGCATATAACTGCCTTCCAAAGGCTGGCTCAGACCGATTTTTCCTCTAGTTTCAGTAAGCAGGACTTAACAAGCCAATCACTCTCTCAAGGCAGCCGGCTAGCTTAGCTTGTTCCCAGCTGCAGAACTAGATATCACATGTTCAAGTATTTAAGCCACTGAGCGCTTACACTGTAGGTAAACAGCAAAGGGGAGCAGCCTGACTCAACATGGGGGACGTCCCAAGTCCTTCTAGTGATCGGGACTAACAGAGGGAGCTCCTCGGGAGAAGGACCCAGCTGTGGAAACCCCTGCTGGCGGGGGCGGGGGCTGGTTCTAGAAGAGTCCCAGGTGCCTTTCAGCTCTAAATCTCACTGTTGGTGCAGCTTTAAATGGTGACAGTAAAGTCTCAAACAAAATCAAATATATTACCTGTTGCCCGCGCTTTGTCAATTATATGCATCTTGCCTGTCTTGCATTATAAAACGTGCTGTGCGCCAAGCCCAACTCATTGACAGCAGACGCCTCTGGAGCAGCTCCCTTCCTTTGCCCTTCCAGGAGCCCAGGCAGAGAGGGCGCAGGAGGAGAGGGCACAGGTGTGAGCAGAAGGAGAGGGTGTGAGCAGGAGGAGAGGGTGTGAGCAGGAAGAGAGAGTGTGTACAGGAGGAGAGGGCACAGGAGGAGAGGGTGTGAGCAGAAGGAGAGGGCACAGGAGGAGAGGGTATGAGCAGGAGGAGAGGGTGTGAGCAGGAGGAGAGGGTGTGAGCAGAAGGAGAGGGCACAGGAGGAGAGGGTATGAGCAGGAGGAGAGGGTGTGAGCAGGAGGAGAGGGTGTGAGCAGGAAGAGAGGCTATGAGCAGGAGGAGAGGGTGTGAGCAGAAGGAGAGGGTGTGAGCAGGAGGAGAGGGTGTGAGCAGGAGGAGAGGGTGTGAGCAGGAAGAGAGGGTGTGAGCAGGAAGAGAGGGTGTGAGCAGGAGGAGAGGGTGTGAGCAGGAGGAGAGGGTGTGAGCAGAAAGAGAGGGTGTGAGCAGCGAGTCCCTAATGAGTCAATGAAATCTCCCAGGAGATGTCCACCTGATCTTAAGTGTTTAGATTTGGGGATCTATCCCTGTCCACACACAATTTCTCCTCTCGCTCCTGTCCTGAGCGCCTCTCCTATGGTAGGTGCTCGACAAATACTTGTGGAGGGAATGATTGAATGACCTGTCATCTTTAACATTTTTAAAAAATACTTTTTTATTGATATCAGAGAGGAAGGGAGAGGGATAGAAACATCAGTGATGAGAATCCTTGATTGGCTGCCTCCTGCACACCCCCTCCTGGGGATCAAGCCCTCAACCCGGGCATACACCCTGACCGGGAATCAAACCATGTCCTCCAGGTTCAGAGGTCGAGGCTCAACCACTGAGCCACGCCGGCCGGCCGGGCTGTCTTTAACATTTTTATTGGTGACTTGGATGAAGAGGTAGAAAGTGGGTTTATCCGATTCATAGGCAGGGAATGCTGGGTGGCAGCGGACAGCTCAGTGTTAACAGCGAGTCTGGCAGCCGACAAACGGCAGGATGGAGTCTGACCGCCGGGTTCCAGAATTCAGGGGTGATTCCGTGGAAGGGGCCTGATGGTGGAATTTCCCCGGGGCTTTAGCTGACCATAGTCCACAGGAACCGACGGGAATGTCGCAACGATAGAACTGTCATCGTTAACGGTGGGGGTGCAGCTCCTGAGGCCCCCACCGGAGGATGTGGCTTCATGGAAAGCTTTATTGATGATGCAAATTCAGGGGGTTCCCCTCCAAGCTCCTATTTCTGTCCTTCCCACCATGGAGGGAGTCCAGTCTTGTCCTCCGCGCACCCAGCCCAGCACCTGCTAGCCGGCTTTGTTCCCTCCCATTGCCTGTGGGGTCCACACGGCCGTGGCCCCGCAGCTGCTTGAGGCCACACGGCTATGGAGAGTGAACAGGCGAGCGCAGGGGTGAGTGTGGGTCACAGAGCAGGAGAGGGAGCTCTGTCTGGGGACTTGGACTTTCCAAGATTTCTCATGTTTGCAAGGGCTCCACCCTCCTGGCCAGTCCATGGCTCCCCAGGTCAGGCTGACAGGCAAGCGCCTTCTCTACGTCACCCCGACTTCATGGGGCATGCGCCCATCTCCCCCTTTGTTCCACGCCTTCCCTCAGGGATCTGCAGGGAATGGAGCGGGGCTTCCTGGGGAGCAGAAGCTGTCGCTTCCTGGTGAAGCTGCCCAGATGACCGTGCTTATGATGTCTGACCGCCCCTTGCTCTCTTCCTTTATTAATATTAATAAACTAGCTACTTATGATGATAACACCCCGCCACCCCTCCCCCGCAGAGAACATGGGCCGCTGTAACCTTACAAAGGTGCGTGGGAGAAGGTCTCATCTGATTGCAGTTCCATTAGTTTTTGCATCGCTCAGAGCACATTCGGGATATTTGGCCTAATTTTAAATGATTCCTTTTACGGGGTCACTGACAAGCCCGAGAGAGCTTGAGCGAGGGGTTAGCTTGCTAAATGATAGGTAGCTAAAGTGCGCAGAGTGCTCACCTGTGTGAAAATAAGGCGAATGGGGCTGGGAGTCACACCAGGGTGCAGAGACAGACCTCGGTTCAAGGTCAGGACTGTGTCCAGCAAGGGCAGACCAGCTGCCTTTTCGGGACGAGAACCTGCCGCCACTAACACTTTCCACGACAGGTGGTGGAGGCGGGTCAGTGAGCTCTGCCTGCTTCCCCCTTGCATTCTGGAGCCGTGGTTTTATGGCGCTGACTGTCCCATGAACAGAGCACATGACACATGTGCAGCTCCATGGACACCAAGCTCAGGAGACATCCAGCTGCCGGGTCTCCTCACTGCTGTGGCCAGAGGCTCCGCTTGTTCTGGTCCCTGCTGTGCCAGGGGCCTTGCAGGTGCCACCCAAACAGATGACTCTGTAGCGGGAATGAGATTATTTTCTTTGGGCTTGTGGGCCCCTCGGAGCCCAGGGCCTCTAGGACAGACCTACCAATGCTCATGCCCGAGCCCTTCCCCCGGCCGCCAGCATGGGCTCTTTAATTGGTGGGCACGTTAGAGGTTGTCCAGGCCAAACGCCCGCCAGTTCTCCATCCAGCCTCTGCTTGGGTGTCTCCAGCACTGGGGAGCTCTGACCTCACATTCTTTTATATCTACTTTATTGATTTCAGAGAGGAAGGGAGAGGGGGAGAGAGAGAAACATCAGTGATGAGAGAGAATCATGGATCGGCTGCCTTCTGCACGCCCCACACTGGGGATCAAGCCCACAACCCGGGCACGTACCTTGACAGGGAATCAAACTGTGATCTCCTGGTTCATAGGTTGATGTTTCAACCATGGAGCCACGCTGGCGGGCGTGGCCTCACACTGAGTGTGGATTGTCTGACTTATTACACTGGGCCCCATTGTGTCTGTGTGTGTGACTCAGCCTTGGCCATGGCTCTGCTTGCAGGGACTCACAAAACCAGTCAGCGTCCCGACATGTGGCCGTCCTTTGAGCCGAGACAGATCCCTGTGCTCTCTGTGTCTTCTCTCTTCCTCCTGCTCCCCATCCTCCCAGCTACCCCTCGGAAGAGACTGTTTGCTCTGCCTGTAAAAATGCTGCAATCCCTTTAGAATGCACCTCCCAGAAGGGGCTAAAACCTTCCATATGCGGCCTGACTGCCCATGTTGTTATTACCACTTGTCATCTATGATGGGCCCATGGTTTCTGTAGCTTTTTTGGCCCGTCAGTGGGGGTAGGAGCTTGGGGGCAACCATGGCTCCTGCCTGGTCCACGTCGTGTTTCTTGATCAT